GTAATTTTTCACTGTCCGAGAGCACTTTTATTTATTTCATAGAGATTTTCATTTATTTTCTTGATGAACCGCCTGGTGTATTCACTCCATATCCCACTACCTGCATGTCATTTTCGAGGTAGGGTGATGGAGTGGGGATGGTGGGGGAGGTGTAGTTCAGCACTCTGAGCCGCGACGAAATTGGTGTTACGAGCGGGATGATCTGTGCAGCATTCTTATTGTTAGCACGATCCAATCCATTGAACCTTGCAAATCACAAGTCAAACGTTTCTGTTTGTGTTGTGTCTCTACAACCTTGCCTTCAGTAGGGGTGCTATGAATGACAAGGCGCGCGCGAGGAGACGACAGTGGTTGGCGCGGCGCCACATCATTCTCCACCGGTTGTTGAAGCCAGCAAGTTGCAACAACAGTTGCTGGGAAAAGGGGCTGGCGCCGCGTCAAATCCCGTACCCTGAATGTCATGAACTATTCCCAAATAGAGAGTGTATTGAAGAATTTGCCCCGGTCCTGTTATAGACCTCACTTTTGCAGGTATATTCACTTATTGATTCCTTCGTTTTCAGTCGTACGTTTCGTTCAATCGCTCTAGGCCAAATACTGTCGTTATGTCTATGTGGCACGGGTATTTCCAGTCAGTTGCTTTCAAACCGAGGAGTTAATGCTCCAGCTGGTACGTATTTTTTGTTGTTCATTTTTTAAACTGCTGTGTTCTATTTTCCTCTACTTTTTCTTTTGCTTGCTTTCCTTTGAAGCTTTCGTGTGAAATTAGGACAAAAGTGGTGAAAAGCATCAGCAGCCACAGAAAAATTTTTTTGAAGTAATCGCACACTGCGCGGTCGCCTGATTGTGAAAATCGGAAATCTCTCTCATAGAACGCAGTCACCAATAGTTCTGTGATCAAGAATGGAACTTTTGTTTCGAATCAACCTAGGCTGCATAGTTCTTCCATAAAGGATAAAGTCTTCGCCGTTGATCAATCCCTTTGTGGGATGCGGCACGCATTCTACTTCCATTCAGAATCGTAGTGGCTTATTGAATGCGATGTGGCCTATACAATGACTTGCGGTGGCCAGCCGATGTACAAGTCAGTGTTTTATCCTCCCAGACGAATCTGGTACCAATTCACCGTCCCCGGAGGGTAGAAGGCTTGGTTGGCGGGAGTCGACCCGGGATTCGAACCCGGCGCCGCGCGAGTGGTAAGCGCGCCACTTGTCACTACACACCTCCGGCTTCAGTTCGGCTCTTCCATAACATCATTGGGAATGTATTATGATACGTGATTTTTATATTATGAACGTGATTTTCATCAAGATATGCCACATGCCAGACTCCTGTCAAGTGTCGCGGAAGTGTTTGAATGCACCGGCCACTTTCACATAGCACCGAACTTACTTATGAGCTGTTTGCTTCGTGAGTAGGTTACTTTACGTACCATTCTACCGTTTCAACCACCGCAGTCCAGTGCAGAGGTGGTCTACACTTGTGGCTCAGTACACAACGCGTGTCATTTTTCGGATCGGCTCCCATCTTATACAATAAACCTTTCATCTCTCCGCGGTCGATTAGGATGACAGATGAACCTGTACAGTACCGTACTACTGCGTAGGCCATATTGACAGATGACCTGTACGTACCGTACTCACTGCGTAGGTCATCTCGAATTCGAAACTCCGGTGCGATTCTCAATGGATGTAGAGCGCGTGGCCTAACCCAAATGGATAAATCAATGCGGAAGTTGGTTTAATAAATCTATGAAGGAAGAGAGCAGGCGGTACTGGAAAACAGTGATGAAGCGGATCTGACATCGTTCGGAGGGAAACCAATCAACGACCTTCATGCCGTAGTAATCTGTACTTCGCGGCCTATCACAACCCGAATATTTTCCTGTCTGTAACTTTAGTGAGTGAGACATTAGTGACTGCACCTTACTTCACATCGGCAGTAGGCAGAACTAATATAGACAAGCGGTGATCGACATCGTTCTGCTAGATTGGAGCAGATTCCTAAAAAGACACAAGTGGCTGGGTCCAAGGGCGCCTCGCGAGCGTTGTATGGTATAGCTCGAGTGCTCGCCTCAATAGCTACTGAACCGTAGTGCAACCTATTGAAAATTTCCCCAATCCGGGATCGTCAATGTGGCGGGTACGTGAGCCAAAATAAAACAACAATAGGGGAGCAGATGACCTAAAGATGCGGGGAGTTGACGCTGGGTACCCACTAAGACATGCAAAAGAAGATGGTAAGAAGATGCGCACCTAAATATCAAATCGCGTTCAACAAACAGTGGATGTAGCTATTGGATCCATTTGATGGCTCATGCCGAAAATTTAAATGAGCTTAATTTTTTGAAACGAATTACGAACTGAGAATCAAAAACTTGAAAAAGGAAAACATCCATGGGATGAAACCTCACTTCTATTGAGAATATTTCTCGACTATTTTTTGCTATCCTTTATAATAATTAATTACAATTGAATATTTGTAACATATAATTTGTTTACATAAACATGTTGTTAATTGCTGCTTATTAGGTTGTCCGGAAAGTTCTCAGCGTTTTGGGTGTTTCACTTTAAACGATCGTAACTTTCTTAATACTCATCGGATTTAATCGAAATAGCACCATTCGAATCAGCACACTTTGCCAATGTGACAGCAGTCGAGAAATCCCATCAAAGTAAAAAACTGGGTGGTCGAAAATTCACGAAATCCACTAAGGCTTTTTTGCCTGGTCCTGATTGATGAAGTTTTTCCAGCAAGGGAGTTCTGAAAATGTTAGAAAAGGTGATAGTCGGTTGGCGAAAGGTCTGAAGAATATGGCGGTTGAGGTAGAACTTCAACCCCAATTCGTTCAATTTATGGATAGTGATTTGTGAAACGTGTGGGCGGGCGTTGTCATGCAAAGGAATCGGACCCTTTCTTTTGATAAGTGTTGGCTGCATCTGACAAAATTTTCGGTACAATTCGTCGATTTCTTCACAGTAGGGTTCTGCTGTGATGGTTTGGCCTGGTGATAAAAAGTTATAATTTATCACACCAGCCGATGACACAAGCCCCGTTGACCATGAATCTTTTTTTCGTGAAGGTTCGGCGCTCTTTGAAAATTACCTCGGTGGTTCGTCGAAATCCAACCACTGTCCGGAACGTCTCCTGTTATCATACATGACCCATTTTTCATCACAGGTGACAATTCGGCCCAAAACAGGTCGTTTCTGCTACGCAAAAGCAATGTAGAAGGAACCTCGAGACGTGCCGATTCCTGCCGGTCACTCCGATTGTGGGGCACCCAATTGTCGAGTTTTTTCACCTTCCCAATGCGTTCCAGACCATCTGCAACAGTGGATTTGCCAAGGCCTAGCTCTTCTGCTATCTCTCGAACTGTTTGGGATGGGTCAGCCTCCACAAACGCCTTCAAATCTCGTCAGGTATTGCTTTAGGTCGACCGCTATGAGGTTCATCTTCAAGGCTGAAATCTCCAGACGAAATTTTGTTGAGCCATTGCCGCATGGTGCTTCCTCTAGCACTATTGGGCCCCCACACCTGGTTAATTTTTATTAGAAGCTGTTTCGATTGCGGATTGCTCCAATTTATAGTCGAAGAAAAAAATCGTCCGAAGTGCTCTTTTCACATGCTTCAAAAAGTCTTGAAAAAAGGGGTTTATCAAGCAATTGGTGAAACGGCAATTATACCATCAGATAGCGCAAGAAATTCTCTACAGGATATGCTACTGAGAAGCAAGGCAGAATGAGTTTTCAATCAGCAGTGAATGTACAAAAAATAGGTGCACAAAACGCTGAGAACTTTCCGGACAACCTAATATAATGAGTCCTCCTCGCTAGCCACTTGTTCAGAAGTGTTCCAATCATATCCGTTTTTGCAAACAAATGTATCAGAAAGCGAGCAAGCGTTCGCTAACCTTAGAGTTTCGGTGTATATAACAGATGCTTTATTGTTGAGAGAAATGTTTGCATCATTGTATAGAAATCTAATAACTTCAAAGCTGAACTCATCTGTTTTATTATACAACTTAGTGATTATCTCCCATTAACTATGCTGACTTGTCAAATCTAAATAATTACTAGATATGTCACTTATACGAGTTTGAGGTGAGTTTTTTTTTAGCTGGAGTGTATTTTTATAGACAACTGTAAGTTGTTCTTCGACGTTCTTTTCATTTTGGTTGTGCACTATTGGTAAATCATCCATATATCTGTATGAATGAACGCCTGCACCAGTTGAAAAATTGTTTTCAGCTCAATCGTTCACAAATTATTTTCTGCTATGTTTCGTCTATTGCACGGCATTATCGTGCAAGACGGGCGACGACGGTCTGTTGGGTGTCATGCGGCGGCGTGGTCTGCAGTACTTTGTGTTAGCACTGATTGATGTCGAAGCGAACTATATGATCGTGTACGCATACCAATTCACGAATCTCACCAGTGTACAGGTGAGTCAAGGTCAAGCTACTTTTCGGTCTATCAGACCACATACCGCTATGGATTCGGACCAGTCAATTCCTTAATTTAGCTACTCGACTGTTCTACAATTCCAATGGTATTGCTGCTCTCCTGGCTATTTCTCTCGGTTCGGTATCTAATTTCACACATTATAGGTAGAGTGGAAGAAGATCAGATGCACCAAGCTAAATATCACTATGAAGTTTACCAGCTAGTTTTCCAGGTGTTTGTATTTGCTTGGTAGGCATTGCGTGTCTGATATGGGCTGATATACTCGACGGAAAAGGAAGCATAGGAGGTATTTCAAACACTGTATTTTCTTGGGACTCAATAGATTTGTCTCTAGACCTCGCAAGGAACACGATCACGTTTCATATGGCGTGAGCTCACTAAAATGTTGTTCTGTAGAGGAAGTACACTCCGCCGTTGGGAAAGCCCAAGCCGTGTTTGATCTCGGAAAGTTAATCGTGTTCCGGAATGAGAGTAATTTTTTGTTGGTTTTTGGTGCTACCCATGTCCTCCCAAAAAAGATTTTGGGAACATTTGCGTAAGCGACGATGTGTTGGAGGTAGCAGCAAAAGGTCATGAATGGAGAGTCTCATCAAGGCTCTCCTTCAGGAAAGGTCGTACTGACACCGCCGTAGCGCACACCCCCATGACTAGCCTCAAGTAGGATTTTGGAGTTTTCCATCGAAGTGCCTCTTAGATTTCTTAAGAATTTTCGCGGGTAGGTAGGATTCTAGTTGATATACTGACATGTTGACAAAGCCTTAACATTGGGGCAAAATGTCCCTATCTACTCTTACTGTTCTGCCAGTGTCTCCGTTCTCTGCCTTCTTGTTGAAGAGCGTCTGCGACAAAAAGTGGTAGAAGCAGTAAGGCTGCGTTTATACTTTGCGGCAGCGTAGCGTAGCGCTTCCAGCGTACGCCAGCGGCAGTGCCGGGGAGAGGATGCATATCGATCTAGCGTTCCCAGCGTCACCAGCGTACGCTAGCGTACGCCAGCGTTTCTCCAGCGTTTCACCAGCGTTTTGCTGGCGTTTGCAGCGGCAGGGGAGTAGAGACTATGTGGCCGTAAGAGACGCGGAATCGTGTATTGTAGAGACTGAGGGCGAGTGAGAGACGCGCAATCGATGTGTTTTGTACCCTCCAGCTCTCCCGTACGCTAGCGTTACGCTGGTGACGCTGGGAACGCTAG